TCCTTTTTAAACAATGTCCAAATCACCAAATCACTACAGACACAGAACCAACCCACCTGTCACTCTGCCGTCATCCATTTGTCATGAGCAAGACGTTGAGAAACTCAGACTACCTATGAAGGAGCAAGTTTGTCTCAACCATACACAAAATGAATTTCACAGTATAGTAAAAAAAACAACTGCTTTTCAGTGTTTCCACAGTGCAGAGCTTTCACTTTTAATGGCCATTGTTGGCAAGTGAGGTTTTTTTATTTTTGTTTAACTGAGTGATCAGAACCCTTACAGCAAGGGGTTTAACTACTCAAGAAAGACAGTTGCAATTGACTCTTCCTACCAATTTCTTTGTCGCCACCAGCGCAAGCTCCCCAACATGTGAAACACAGCTTTATTAAAAACAGACAAACTCTAAAGAATGCCCAACATGACCAAGTTATTACAAATACACACTTTCCATAAAGCTTCCAAAACCCTTTATCTGTCATCTCCCTCGCTGCTCCTCTGAACCTTTTATTTGTAAAGCAGGGCCTTTATATGCTCTCTACACTTCAGAGTGAATGCTCTGCCATTCACTCTGCAGCAGATGAATAGTGTGAAGCAACAGAGGACGGACAGTGTTGATCTTTTGACATGCTGTGAAAAAAATCCACTTGCTTCTTCAAAGCTGTTGTGTAGCTGACTGGGAGATCAGAGTGAAAAGAAAGAAATGTTTACAGCTTAACTTAAATCACATATTGATTCAGTTGCTTATTTTCTGTAGCCATTTGTGTATATTCAGGCTGATCAGCTAAGCTCTTAGACTACTAAAACCTAAGGGGAAAAAATAACAGTGTTACTCAGATTATGTAGGAATAACAACCTCCTACACATTTTACTGAAAAACGTCAGTTTTGTTTACCGAGAAACAGGTTTTACTCATTGTGACCCACTGGCCACTCATCTTCATATTTTCCCCACAATTCCTAGATCTTTCCTAACAAAGGATGTTTACCTCTTTAGGCGCTTTTTAACATTTCTGTTCTTCCCTTAATATTCAGCGCATATGTGGATATTTTCATGATTCACCGACAAAAATAAATAGCAATATATTTTGCAAATGTTATTCTGTGCATGGTCATTATGGCACATGAGTTATATCAAGCAATGCTTGAGCTACCAGATAAAAAAAAGCATGTGGTTAGACCATATTTTTGCTGAACATCTTAAACATGCCAGTAATAAGCTGGCATCCATTTCTTTCCATCTGTTTTACTGGTTGCATGATCCATGGCTTGTTGCCAGACCCAGTGTTATCTGTTCTGTTAGTGCCGATCATTAAGGATTAGGCTAGGAAAGTCAGCAGTCTTGATAACTACAGACCAACACTATTAGCGAAGACAACGTCAAAAGTTTTAGAAAGAAACTGGCTCCATAGATTACATATGTTCATTAACTTCACTGATAATCACTTTGACTTCAAACTCAAGCATGGTGCTGATTTTTGTATATATTCTTTGAAATAAACTTTAAACCAATGTAGAAGACAGAATTCATCACTTTTTATCAATGCCTCCAAAGCATTTAGGTGTGTAATTTATAAAGTTACTTGTTAAGTTCAGTCAAGGAGGGGTGCCAAATACATCATGAAATTTCTGGTTTAACTGTTAAAGACAAGCAGACATTGCAAGCTGTTGCATTTCTGCCCTGGTTGGAGTTAGTGATGGTGTTAGACAAGGAGGAATTTTGTCCCCAATTCTTGTCAATGTTTATGTTGATGATTTGTCAAAGAAATTAAGAGCCTATATGGGATGCATGGTATTTTATTGATCCATTTTATGTATATAGATGATCTTGTTGTCTTTAGTCTTAGCAGTGCTGGTCTCCAGCGGCTCTTTCACATACGTTCTCCTTACTGTATGACGTTTAACATGATATCAGATACAATGTCTGTAAAAGAGCACTGACGATTTGCAGAAGCAAGTAAGGACAACTATCAAAGATTTCCAGAGTTGAAATTGTCAGATAATCATTTTACTGTCTGTAACAAGTTCAGATATCTTGGACGTCTCACATCAAATGTCAGATGATAATGGAAATGTTGGATGAAGTGTGCATACATCTTAGGTAAATTTAATGCATGTGTCGATAGATAGACCATTTCTTCATTTAGAACATAATGTACACCTCTGTATATGAAAGACCTTTGGACAAATTATAGGAAAACAAGTTTATGGAAACTTCATGTAGCTTTTATTGAGGCTTTGAGGTTATTACTGAATACACTGAGATGGCTCAGTGCAAGTGAGATGTTTGTAACTGCTGGAGCCACTACATTTAAAGTTTTATTAACACATCTCATTCATAAATATATTTGCATGCACATGAAGCAGATACAAGGTTTTGCACCGCACGTTATCACTCTTCATTGTGGAGACACTGGTATAGGTGCAGAAAGGTGTATTTTTATTTGTTTTTCTCTTGTTTTTGTGTTACTGTATGTAATTTGTTTTGTTTCTATGGACATAAAGATTGACTGAATAAAAATTGATTGATAGTCATGAAATTATGTTGCAGCCAGGTGCTGCTGATCATATACACTTGATTAGCTTTATCATCAGTGAGGCTGAGCACCTTTATATAGGCAGTAGTTTCTGAGTTTTTTTGGTCTGGTGCATGTTAACACATCGTGGACGTTCCAGCAAATTATCCTAAAGTCAGAAAAGCAGGAAAATCCAAGCTGATGGGTTTTCACAATGTAATGTGAAGTGATTTTTTCTTTAATTGTTTATATTGGGGTTTTTTGATGTTGTTAAAGTAACTTTTCCATCATCACTATAGGGCATCAAAAAAGAAAAAAGAAAAGAAAATGCAGTTGCAAAGAATGGTCTGGACTTTTACATCAAAAAAGCAGAGCCACACACTGAAATGAGAGAGCAGCCAAAAGTAGATTCTTACTTTGTTTGGTCATAAGAGGCTGAATTACATGCTTGGTTAATTTTTTTAACAGACTTGGGTCAAAGGTATTTTTTTAACCAGTTTTGTGGCTGAAGGGGAAAAAAGTGTAGTTTAAAGAGCGTACAATCCTATGACGAAAACATCAGTTGCTAAATCCCTTAGCATCTGACTGGTGTAGCCATGTTTAAAATGAGCCCTATTGTGCTGGAAACTGTGTGCATGAACATGAATGCTGTGTCAACACAAGCTAAGTTAAAACCTTCACTTATCTTGCACATGATCAGAGTCATTGTCGGCTTCTCAGCCTTATGTAAGTCTTCATTGTAGCCTCATGTAAGCATAAAATGCCAAAACCTTACATGTAAACAATAAAATGTTTTCCATTGTTTTTGAGTTTCCCTCACTAACATTATCTGTACCAACAAATATCCAATAAATATATAAAATGTTTGTGCTAATTGGTTGAAATTCAGAAGTGAAATACTAAAATAGTACTCAGGGCCTGTTTGCCTCAGTCACACATAACTGCAGGCTAAATTTTGATTACTTGAATACACTAATTAGTTGTTGTTTCTTCTTTGAAAAAAAAAATCAATAAATAAGAAAATCCAACTGATTTTTGCAAAAAATGTGTGTTTTATAATTTTGTAGGGACTGTTAAAGACCTGCATGCAAATATTCTATCAATAACTCCAGTGCAACTTAGTCACAGTAACTCCCACAGCTCTGCCTGCTTACTACTCTTTTTTCTACAAGCTTTGTTTGCTAACCCATTAATTTGTTATTTTTCTCATTTGCGTACAAGAAATAACTTCATAGTTTATTTAAAGTTTATATTTGTGTCATTGATTCCCCCTCATCAGTATGGAAATTGTTGCTCTGTTGTGTAGCACTTTATACTCAGGAGGACGGCTATATAAAAAGTAAATGCTTCAATATAGCTAATTAGCGACAATAAGCTACATTTATATTAAATTTTCTGACTCTACATCCTCCCAAAGCCTAGCAAAGTCAAAAATGCTTACTGGTTACCAACAGGGCAAATTTACAGATGTAGCTTCAGTGGGACTTGGAACGGAAATGACTGCACCCACGCAAGGAAAGTCTTACTTATATCTGAACTCTCCAATACATAGCAGTGTAAAATAGACCATGTGGCTTGGTACCAGACAACACATATAGTTGACTGCAAACCTTAAACTGCAGCCGCTTGGAAAAATTTGCACTAAAGCAAAAAATAAAAATAAAAAATAAAAAAAAGACATAAGGTTAATAAAATTCATTTTTGTCACTGTGGTCTGCTCACTGAAACTTTTTCCCCATTGAACCATGACAGTAAAAAGCATCTTGACCTCCACCAAGCAGATTCTTTGTCTAAATATAGAAATATTTTACCAGGCTGGGATGAAATTTAAATAATTCAATCCAATCAGTGTTTTTCAATTCAAGCTCATATATATATATAGCGCTAAATTGAAACAATAGTTTCCTCAAAGCTATTTATATTGTAAAGTAGAGACCGTAATAATGTAAAGAAAAGCCCTATGAGCAAGCACTTGGTGATGGTGGAGGAAAAACTCCGTTAGATTGATGGGCAAGTATTTGCTTTGACCAGTTAGGATTGGGTGGATGGAGACAGGATGAAAAGTTTGAAGTACAGTAACATCTTCTATCTATTTCTATCTTTGCTAACAACCAGTCAAGAATCAGAAATCCGCAAATGCCAGTGCTTCACCGAGTCCTCCCGAAATACTCTAGGCTGTCTTATAGCTAACCCTATAGATAAGTAGTATTTATGTCTTCATTTGCTCATGATATGTAAACACTGTTTAAATATGCCAAAATAAGCCCTTTTTTATTGTACTCCCATTGAAAATCAGCATGAATATTATAACACTTAGAACCCCAAGTCTAGGTCACTCTTTTCTTTGAGGTGAACTGAAGCGCTCATAAATATCTACATAACCCCAGCATGTATGACATGCTCTTATTTTTGCCCTATGCTGTCAGGCTGCTGGAGGAGTTGCTGCTGACACAAATGTGTGTGTGTGTGTGTTTGTGTGTTTCAGGGGTCAGCCTCCTAGTGCCTCATGGATCCGTGGCTGAAAATATGTCCTGGGAGATGTACATGGTGATCAATCAGGGAGAAGCAAGGTGAGGCCACAGTTTACCTAAATATCATTTGAAGCATCTATCTGCCTGTCACTCTCTCTCTATCTTATCATCCATCTGCCCTGACTCTCCATCACCTGTCCTCGCTGTCTCGCTAATTATTTACTATCTTTTGTTACTTTGTTTGCAGCTGCAGTATCAGTGCTCTGTCATTGTGGGATGAAGGAATTCGATTTAGGCTTTCTGATATGTTTTCTTACAGCCTGTTGTCTGTGTTGAGTTTAGCTTCTAGTCTTCCAAGTATGAAATTTCAACCAAAACAAAAAAATAATTAAAAAAATCAAGCTTTTTAAAGATCAGTTGGAGGATTTCATGTCACTGTCTCTAAACATTATAAATGGTAAATGGCCTATATTTGTATAGTGCTTTACTTAGTCCCTAAGGATCCCAAAGCGCTTTACACATCCAGTCATCCACCCATTCACACACACATTCACACGCTGGTGATGGCAAGCTACATTGTAAGAGGATAACAAGACAGTCTGAGTGTCACACACATATGCTTGTGCTGTCTTTCATACTATTCACACAGCCTTTTAGAGCCAAAATGAGAAGTTGTTTATGATGTGTCTGAGGCGGTTGGCTGACAAATCTTGTATCAAACAAAGACTACAGGTACTCTTCTTAGGCTAAAAAATACATTGATAATGAAAGGAGCCTTCACAAGATATTACACATCAGACTCCTTTTTTCCATCATGGTTTGTAGTAGTCAGGATATAAAACTGTTCTGGAGGACCTTTGTTTTGTTGCTGATTAATAATGGATGATTGAACTGTTGAACCATTCATGCTTGACCCTGTACTATCTCCTGTGAATTACATATGGAAAGCAAGATGCAAAAAAAAAAGTTTCCTGAAAAAACATTCATCAGGAAAGCTGTAATTATTTTTTACCGGTAATGCAATCAAAAGCTTTTGATTTGCAGGTTTTGACTCTGAACTGCAGAATGCAAAAACATTGCACTGTTGGAAAAGAAGGTAGGAGAACATCTAAAAAAAAAAATGGAGGCACTAATCAAAAGGAGAGTTTGCTTTTGTTGAAATTAGTGATTTACCTCTGTCTTTGAAAATTGTCTTTGATGAATGGTTTGCTCTCAAGTAAAATATATGTGACTAAATCCAAAATAAATTAAATGTCAGACAAAATAAGAAATGCCAGTTACATTCATTGGCTAAACACATCAGCTAACTATCATTTTAATGTTAGCTAATGTACCTTAGCTATAGGCCTCTAAGCTTATCAATTGCTGTTAATCCTTTTTTATGTTTGGAGCTTGAAAATTTTTAAAGAAGTCATGTCAAGAAGAAGTCAAGAAAGGTAATAAAGAATCAATAGATGGAAAGGCAACCTGTCTCAAACCAGTTGTAGCCCCGCACTGACTGACTGCAGCTTGGCGTCAGTCTCAGACAGATTGGCCAAGGATTGTAAATAATTGTTTAATTTGTAAATGCAGACAGATGGCAATACACTGCAGTCATTCTCAGTGTTGGGTAAGTTACTTTAAAATAGTAACTGAGTTACATTACTAGTTACTTCTATCAAAAGTAACTCAGTTACTTCAAGTTACTCGTTACTTTCAAAGTAACTAGTTACTAGGGAAAGTAACTTTGGTTTTACTCAGAATTCTCTTGTTAATGTGTTGCTTCCATAACTTTGCCAGTCTTCTAGCTTGCTTACTTGCCACAAGTGCACTGTGCCACCTACCAATAGAAAGGAAAAGATAATGTGCATATTTCCACGTAAGAAATCCCACGCCTGGACCATCATTGACTGCTGCCATGATTCTAGCCTACGTCACAGAGTCATGTGCGCCTTTTACATCCAACACAAAAACTGCAGTCGTGGTGCTTTCGATTGTACTCAGAACTTGGAAATTCTGCCTTCTGAATAGGAAGATGTAGGCAACACCAGACTGCAGATGAGCTGCATACAGGGCTGGACTGGGACAGAAAATTGGCCCGGACATTTTGACTAGAGCCCACCATTATAGCAAAAATCATAAAGCCTTTGAATGAAAATAAACGCTGTTGTGACAGTGATGTACACTGTTTTGATGGTATATATGCATCAATCTATCAATCGTTTGTTGTAAGATTCAGATAATTATTTTTTAAAAGCGAGACACTTTAAATGAGAATAAGAAAGAAAAGTATTTCCTTGTGCCCCCCTCTCCCTGTTAATGCCCTACCTGGCCCCCTGGCAACACTTTGCTAGATCCGCACCTGCACAGTTACCAGCTGTCAGCTACCTAAAAAAGGATCCTGGGGTTATTTGTCTCTCAGAAACAGTTCATAACTTCCCTTCAACTCATTCATGTCACCTAAAGGGTAAACCTGTTTCTCCATCACTTGTTCAGCTCTGATGATCCAGTAAGGACATCTCCTGGTTTCATCTTCATGTTTCCCTCTCACCAGATAACCAAACCGACATCATGACCAGCAGCTTTTTTACAGCTGTGGCTCCAGCAAACATCAGCTGATACTAGAAATTAATATTAAATACATTCTAACAACAGCTGATCAAGCTTAAACGTGCTGCTGTTGTTTAGCGCGACATCCGCTGGTTTCCTCTTTCGGCGCAAAGTGGGCGATAAACAAACAAGAGAGCCGATCAGCTGATCATTGATCAGTTTCATCATTGAAGTAGAAACGGGAGAGGGAGGGGGGAGAATGAGAGAAGAAGAGGCAGCTGTGCAGCAAAGACACAGAATAACTCCGGCTTTGTGTCTTTTTCATTGTAGCTGAATTACGGGACAAACTGTTCCTTTTCACCTCAATGAGAAACGCGTAATATTTTCTCTGAATACCAGACGGGACGGTTGGCAACTCTAATAACTTATGAACAAAATAAAGTTCAACATCATTAACTTCATAGCACCACCCAGCTGTATAAGAAACTCCGTCATGCTAGCTAGCACGCAGTACGGAAAAAGTCAGAATAACGAAAATAAACTCCACCTAAACTTGGTTTATATCTGACCCAGAGAGACTGCAGGTCATAACTTCTTACCTGAAGTTCAGTTCACACTTGGACCGGCGGCCGCCTCGGGTCTCTTTTCCTTCTGCCTCCCTTTTCCTTCATCCACCTGCTGCCTCCACCACTTGCTAATGTTACTGAATCTGTGGAAGCTCCGCGATAGCCACCACACGAAGTAACGAGTAACGACCCTATCTAAATCCCAGTAACGAGTAACGCGTTCCTGATTTTGGCATAATAACTAGTTACCGTGCTCGTTACCACAATAATAACGTAGTTACTGTAACGCGTTACTTAATAACGCGTTAGTCCCAACACTGGTCATTCTATGTCAATCAACAGAGGATTTGACTCAACTGGTTGCCAGCTGGTTGCATTCTGGTGTATCATTTTCCCATCCTGCAGTAACTATGTAACTGTTTTCGGAGGAATTTCTTGAATTCTGTTTCAGATCCATGAGTTTCTGGCTGGACTCTGCATAGAAGCTGTTACAGTAAATTTCTGGATCTATAGATGACAAAAAGTTTGGAACCTTTGCTAATTTATCACAGTCAATCACTTTATTATCATAGATGCAACTGTAACTGCCAACTTAACCCCATTCAGTCGCAAACTTATAACAGACAGACTCCACCTTATTACTAACTGATGGCGGCTGGTGGCAGACCTGGTTCCTCTCCAAACTCTATTTATGTGCTATAGTCACTTCGCTTGAGTGACTATAGCATTAATGTCAGTAGCATATTATTGGTATGATATGTATCAAGAAACTTTTGCTTAATTATGGCTTGTTTTTTGCTGTGGCCCTCTGATCATTAACAAACTGACCATTTGACCATGCTACAATCACTGCCGCTCAGTAGTTCAGCACATTTTTTCATTTCCAAAAGCAGCTGCTTAGTATAGTTTTTGACCAGCAGGAAATAATGCATTTGTTTCCTCTAGATAGTATTTCAGGCTCAAGGCTACTGTATAAGGGATGTTTTCCTCCTCTTTTTGGACAATTCTGAGGCATTAACATTTGGGCAGCTAGCTGTAGCTGATCCATTTCACCTCTGCTAATTTAAGTCGTTAAACTTAAAGTGGTGTTCGTGGCCTTATGGAGAATCTTTATTGGAACTATCCGATAACGCAATTTGTGACTCAGTTTTGGTGAGTAATAACTCACCAGTTAATTAATCAGCTGCTTAGTACTAATTAGTAAGGATGCAACTTGGTAATCAGGCTTGCTAGTGTTAGTAGTTGTAGCAATGATAGTGATCATAAAGGCGTGTTACAAAGCCATCAAAAATCATCAAAAATCAACAAATGAATATATTGGCAACCACTTGTAAAGCTTGTACAGAAGGTAATGTGTGTGTGACCCTCCCCAAAGACATCTCTGCGTCCATGTGTGTTTACCCTCAGGCTATGTGACAGATGGGCCTATCTCCCTCTCTCTTTAGGAGCCCTCTTGGTCTCTCGATATGGTTGTTCATTTCCAGAAGCCCCTCACAGGTGGTAGTGTGGGCTTTGATGTCCTAGCAGCTGTGGAGAAACTCAAGTTTACACCACACGACCCAGAGGGGACTTCGCAATGGAGTCCTCTATTTAGATAACTGACTGATAAGAAGCAAAGTCAAACGTCCAATCCTCCAATGCCTTTCCCATCCTTGTCACTCTGAGAGTCAATATGTAGTTATGTACTCCACTCGGTGTCAACAATGTGGCGCTCTGGGAGAGAGTCACGACCTGGGAAGCTTGTTTAAACGATGATGAATGCAGTGATGAACGGAGCTTGGTTGCGCTGATGGACATGCACGACAGAATAGAAGGCACATATTTCTCTCGGGGCCTTTCATCTTGGCAGCACGTACATTATGCATTCTGATCACGGCTAGGTAATGACCCTCAGATGGACTGAGCTGTCTCCAGGGCGGAAGTTTGCACAGTCTTCCCTGTGGAGATTCACAAGGGTTTCTAGCTTCCTCTGAAGTGTCACTGTTTATTCACATGGCTCCACTT